TGTGGGGGACATTCTCATTCAGACCACCACAGCTGCTTGATAGCAGACCCCTAGTACTTGGTTATATGGGTTTCTTTTTTCCTGCTCTCTCTTGTCTTTTCTCTGTGTTGATAAGTCACTGTAAAGGAGACAGTTACTTAGTCAGTGTAATTAATGGTGCTGGCAAGGATTGTCATTTATTCTAGGATTTATGAATTCCCTACAAAACTACATTCAGTTGCATGTAAAGGTTTTTTTCTCATTTTTCACTGAAATGTTACATTTCCTTAAGTTAGGGATATAGCCAACAGACCACAAGAACATTAACAGTTACTACTTGGTCAGCAACAAAAGAATCATGGTGTTTTTCTGCCTTAGAACTATTGATATGCCCTTTGTATTATTACTATCTGAGTTTCCACAGACTCTGAGAGAATGTGTTATTTATACATTAATGAGCTAGCACTCTCATTGGTACAGCATGATTTTTAAATATTGGACTATATTTTATTGTAATTGTTAACTTCTATAACTTTCTGTATTGTACTCATTTAAAAGCATTTTCTTTACATGGGTGCTTAGGAATAATAGAATTGCCTGCAAAAGCACAAAATTTAACATAGCATAAAGTTACTAAACAGTAATCTTTTTTGCTGTATTGTGGTTCCCGAGATAATATTAAATCAGTAGACAAGTATAGGAATTTGAATGTACTTTGAAGAGGTTCAAAAGAAGAAATTCAAAATTTCGTAGCATACGGGGTGGAGCCCTGTTTACTACCATAGTTTCTTTTCTCAGTGAGAACTAGTAAAAATTGTGGTATCTTATCTTCTAGGCCTTTTAATTGCCTTTATTCATGTGTATGTGGCATTTTGAAATCATATATAATACTTTGTACTTAAACCCAACTACATCAGTATATTTTGGAATGCATTTTTTATCATTTTTTTAAAATTTTTAATAACTACATGATTAGAAGAAGCATTTCATTACAGCTTTAACATATTCAGTAGCACACTCCAGAGCAAGACTACATCTCTCACAAGTGGCTGTAAGTTTCTAGGTTCACAGTTGAATTAATATAGTTATTGAACTCAGTATAAGCCCATAAGACATAAAATTGAGTGAGTTTTTTAACCCTTAGAAAGATCTCCATTTCATTTTAGATTGTATTGTTCCTTGCAGAAAGACTCATTGTTTTTGCTACTAACATTGAGATGTTGGTGCATGCATCTCTAATCTGTATGTATCTGATTATTACTAGTCCTAATCGGTTACACTTGGATCCTTGGCATCTGTGTATGTCTATAAAGTCATTAGGTAGATTTAGGTGGTAACGTTTATCACCTCTACTAATTAACATGATGTAAATTTCCATGCTTCCTCCTCAAATATAATAACATTTTTAAAAATCTGTTGATTTGATTTCAGTGGTAATGTTTATCACCTCTACTAATTAACATGATGTAAATTTCCATGTTTCCTCTTCAAATATAATACATTTTTAAAAATTTATTGATTTGTGTGTGTGTGTGTGTGTGTGTGTGTGTATCACACAGAACATCCCAAACGATCTTATTCAACTATACACCCACTTCCCAGATGGCACCCTCCCATAGCCTCCCTCCCCCCACTAGAGCCCTTATACTCTGATATCCCTGCTAGTGTCTGCTGTGTTGTCAGCACGCCCAGCCAATCTGTACTACTTGTCCATCTGATGAATCTAGTCAGCTTATCTAGAGGTCTTGTTTTAGGAGGGTCAGCTGTTCCTCATCTAGCAGCAATCAGTTGTCAATATTCCTTTAGATAAGATTGGGGTCTGCCGTTCATTTTCCCAGTTCTATGCTGGGTTACTACCTGGGAGTCCCTTTGGTCACCCTGGCCAACAACTCAAAAGAAGGTATCTCTTATCTGGCATTGTTGCTTGTTATGTAGCCTTTAGCTATGCATATGGACTCTTAAAAATTATATTGGCCCCAAAAATTAAAAAAAATTATATTGGCCCCTTTAATCTTTGGTTATACTTTGCTTTGGGGTATTTAAGGCCATATAGTTGGCCCTGATAAACCAGTTTATTTTTACTCTTAAGCTTGTTTGAGGATCTGTTCCTCAGGGGTCACATGGGCTTGGGAGGAGCCCCTGGCTTTCTTTTACTGGTTCCGCCTATGTGAAGATAAATCAAAGGTCCTGCTCCACCATGGTTGGCTTCGCTTGGAAGCATGGAGGAGATGATTCCTCTGTGTTGACCCTCCTCTTTATAGACTGGACACGGGTTCAAGTCCATCTGGTGGGGTATTCTCGGCCTCCTTGATCAGGAGGACAGGTGATCCACCACAATTACAGGACATTTTGAGAGATGCTTATAGTCCCCTGAAACTAGTCAACCTAGGAGGGCAAGGAACAAAAATTGTCCTTCATGTTCCTCTGACCAAATTAGTATAGGCCTCAAAGTATGTCTGTTAAACACCCAAGAAGGTTAGTTCCTCCAGTCTGGTACTTTTAATTACTGTGTGTCATGTAGATAAATCTTGGGCAAAGACCAATTATTCTCAGATAAACCTTACCTAGAAATATATTTCTTGATCTGTTATGTATAATTTGTCAGTAGGTTGTTGGAGTAATATGGTTCCCTCTGGTTTTTAAAACTAGCTAGGCGTTATTTATCTCTCACATTGTCTTACCCCCCATCATGGTTTTCCCACTTAAAGGTGCCCCCATTTCCCCCCCTTTCTCTCTTAATAATACCCTTCTCCTATGGTCCTACCTCCCTTGAGCTCCTTCTTTCCCTTTATCCCCTAGGTTCCTTGTATAC